CCCCAGGACACCGTGTGAGGGACATCCCAAGCTGTGTACGTGGGCCATCGACATCCAGCAGGAGCCGTTTGACGACATCTCAGAAATGAACTGTGTGTTCTCATTGAAACTCTACTTTACTGAAACTGTTGTGGAATGTGAAAATACTCCCCACTCCCGTTAGAAGATTGTGTATCAGGGACATCCTTCCGATAAATGCAAGGAGACAAACGTGCACTCTTCAGAGTTGCCCCGGAACCTGTAAAGGTTTATGTTGCAGAGCCAGCTGGAGAGCTGCTTTGAGATTGTGAACCGAGACATGTTTTAGCGCGCTCTCTCTTGCAAGAAAGACAACTATGCCTGCCTCCTGAGTCTTCCTGTTCCTGATGTGTTCTTAGCATCTGATTACCAGCATTAACCTAACAAACATGTATGGTCATGTTGTCTCTTGCTTGTTCTTATAATATTTACTGGTTTATTTTTATATTTCGGATAATTAAGTTCAACATCTTTTGTTCTAAAATTCAGAAAACATTTGTATAACAAGTTTATCTTTTAACAGGCATTCTCTACGCCACATGTCATCCAAGGCTAAGACAAGCCTTGATGCTTCCTGGTCACTTAACTTGATGGACAATGTTTGTCGCGCAGTGAAGTGAAAAGTGACAAAAATGCTTGGTATGCGAGATTTGGATCTTCATTTGAGTAAATCTTAGCCCGCTCTTGATTTTCTAGATTCACCTTGAAGACAGTAATTACACGCTGTGTTCAAGGTGTAATTTCTTCCATCCATCCATTTTCTGACTCGCTTATCCTCACAAGGGTCGCGGGCTGTGCTGGAGCCTATTCCAGCAGTTTCTGTCAGATGGCTTCTGTAAAGTTCTCATTCACGTATACATTTGAGCCCTTGAGATACTTGGCTCTTTGAAAGACCCCTGTCTTACCTTTATATTTTTCAAAGTTAACAAAAATAGGCCTGATCCTCCCACGTTCAGGTTTCCCTGTCCTGTGTGCTCCCTCCACCTCGATCTTTTCCTGCAGCTGACGGTTTTTCTTCAAGAGCTTCCTTATTTTTTCTTTGGTGTCTCTCCATCACTCTCCTGGTGTTTCCTCCACTCCAACTATGACCAAATCGTTTCTCTTTCATTGGCCTTCGAGATAGTCTGTTTCATCAGTTAAAACCAGCAGACTGTTTGCAGTGTTCCATTTGTTTAGTATGACTTATTTTAACGTCATAAACTTCATTCTATATAAACTGTATACTTTGTAATATTGTCCAATGTGTATTACTTGAGTCCATTATCATTTTGCCATGGCTCACTCTCTCGCCGTCGCTCACACTCACTCAGCCTCTCTCGCCGTCACTCACTCTCACTCAGGCTCTCTCGCCTGGGCTCTCCTGCTCTCCTGCCTGGGCTCTCTCACACTCGCTCTCCCGCCATCGCTCACTCTCGCAATCGCTTGGGCTCTCTCGCTCCCATGCCGTCGCTCTCTCAAGTTCTCTCACAGTTATTCACTGAGGCTCTCTGGCCGGTGCTTGCTCGCTCAGGCTCTCTCACAGGCCCGCGGACTCTCTTGCCCACTTGCTCGGGCTCTCACTCACCGTTGCTCAGGCTCTCTTGCCGTCGCTTGCCCGCTCGGGCTTTCTTGCCCGCCCGCTCGGGCTCTCTTACCATTGGTCGAGCTCTCTTGCTGTCGCTTGCCCGCTCGGGCTGTCTCGCCATCGGTCAGACTCTCTTGCTCTCTCACAGTCTCTCTCGTGGTCCCTCGGGCTCTCTCGCCCACTCGCTTTTGCTCTCTGGCCATCGTTTGGGCTCTCTCGCCGTCGCTAGCCCATTTGGTCTCTCTCACCATCGCTTGGGCTCTGCTCTCTTGCCCGCTCGCTCTTTGGACATCGCTCTGTCAAGCTCTCTCTCTCTCTCTCTCTCTCTCTCTCTCTCTCACAGTCGCTTGACCACCCGCTCGCTCAAGCTCTCTCACTGTTGCTCACTCACTTGCCATCGCTCGCTCGGTCTCTCTCACCGTCGCCCAGTCGCCATCCCTCACTTGGGCTCTCACAGTCGCTCGCTCTCTCGCCATCACTGGGGCTCTCTCGCTTGCCCGCACTGCATTCTCTTGCTCGACCGCGGCCTCTCGCTCGTGCTCTCACACAGTCTATATCTGAAGACATACACTGTCTTTTTCTTATGCCCTGAGACATGCACATCTTAAGATGGCTTGAAACATGGTATATATGTCTCAAAGAAATGGTCAAGCTCTCTCTTTAATTGCAGTTTAATGATATGATAATGATCAATTGATATTTTACAGTATTGTTATTGGAGTGTCAAATCTAAATTCAAAGCCTTATTTTCAATATTTAACTTGGATTAATTTTTATTTCCTTGAAAGCCCCCGTGTAATGGAATGAATAACTGATACAAAAACAGAATTGACTCAACAAATTACAAATGTAAATTGTTGAATGTTATGGGTGCTGTAAGAATTTCGCCATGCTTTTTATTTCGTTGAATGTATGCTTTTCATGTTTAGTTTTAATGAAAATATGTGTTGCTAGTTCCTGCACTAGCTGGCTTTTTTCCATTCGTGCTGCCATGACGCATAATCAAATTGTGCCATTTGAGAGCAAAATAAATCAACAAAATCTGCATACCTAAACCATGCAATGCAAGTCCGGTCATAGTTCAACATACATGCTAACATGTGTAGTATGTTTAACCTGTGGCCAGAGACGGTGGGAAGCTATCTGCAATTTTACATGTCATATCACATGCATATCATGTCATATCACAAGATAATGTGAGCAAAGCCAGTAATTTGCAAAATAGCAACACATCTGTCTTCAAACATCTTTTTGTGGATACAGTGATCCCTCGCTACTTAGCGGTTCGTTTATCGCGGGTTCAGTGCATCGCGTTTTTTTCAAATATTAAAAAAAATAAAAAAAAAATTCTTTTTTTTTTTTTTTAGGTTAATTCCCATTTTGGGTACATTGACTGCCATTATAACCACATATTTTTGATGGACTGTAATCCTGACATTTTAAATCGCTTTTTCCACGAATAACTTTTAAATCTAAGCTTTTACCTTCAAAATTTGGGCAAAATATATTTTAGGTCGAATGACCCTCCAAAATCATCAGGGGCAGCTGATCCAAATCATATATGTTTTCAATCGAGGCCTGCTTCTCTTACCTTGCAAAATGCATGGCAATAAAAAAGCTGACCACTATAAAAACGGTCATAGTGTGTTGGGATTGATCTAAGAGTGTTGTGAATGTGGTTGAGTGTGAGCTCGCTTGCTCGCGCGCGTGCGTGCGTGTGTGTGTGTGTGCGTGCGTGCGTGCGTACGTGCGTGTGTGTGTGTGTGTGTGTGCGCGCGCGAGCAAGCGAGAAATTGATGATCACAGGCTCAATGTTTGCATCTTTTCTTGATGAACAAAACACAAACACACTCTCCTATTGGACACACAGTTTTGCATGTTTACAGAGGTGATGTTTGAAGTCTGTGAGAATAGTTTCTGGCTTGTCTGGCTGGTCATTTCTCCAGCAGACAGCCATTAAGAGAACATTCAAATTAGAGGAGGCTGTTGCTGCAGTCTTGCAGTCTTCTGATGAGGGTGAAGAGAACTTTTCTGAGGATGGTAGCAGCCATGACATTGATTCTGAGAGCCAGGAAGGATCAGAAGAGGAGTACCTGCCAGGCAGCTCAGAGTAGGAGGAGGAACAGCAGGAAGAGAGAATGGAAGAGGACACTTCTCCATGGATTTCGCGAAATGGGAAAATCTGGTGGTCCCCAACTCATGAGGAAGTCCTGCCATTCTTTCCCCCGCCTATCCCAACTCCAGGCAGGACCAACTTATTTTGCACTGGCAAGGATAACTACTCCTGAAAATGCATTTGACCTCTTTTTTTCAGAGGAAATCCTACAGCATAGCCTGCATTTCACAAACCTGCAGGGGAAGAGGTCAGTCAATGCCTGGAAGGAGTTGAGTGTGCAGGAGCTGCGGGCCTACTTAGGAGGGACAAGATTGCCCTAAACAAAGATTTCTGGACCAGGTGGAGCAGCCGCCTCTCCAAGCTGTTCAACCCAGGGAGGGATATATGCATTGATGAACAGCTGGTCCCTTTTAGGGGACAATGGTTAGGCCTGAAGTTGTTTAAAAGATTTGATGCAGCGCAAGTGAAAAAAAAATCTTTAAAAGTTACATTTTTATGACACTTTTATGAAGGTTCCCGTTTTGGGAATTAACCTAACAGGTGTAAGTTTTGGAGAAAAACTTGCATTCCGCCAAACATAAAAATGCCTCAAAATCAATTTTGTTATCAAATATTGACCTCATCAAGGCTGTAATAACCTCATCCCAAATATTCCACTTCACATCTTATTTTTGAAAATATGGCACATTTTGTGTTTTTCTCATTGAAAAAAATCAGGGGTTCCTCTGACAAAAAAAGGCATAAAACATAAAAAATAAAGAAATAATGAAAAACTTTGTCTATGGGTAGGTCTGAAGTTGTTGAAAAGATTTGACGCAGTGGAAGCGAAAAACAATATTAATGTATTAAATTTTTATGACACTTTTATGAAGGTTCCCGTTTTGGGAATTAACTTAACAGGTGTATGTTCATTTTAAACATGTCCCAAGGGTTACTATAAATGGAGTACAGTACTGTATATGTTGCTCTATGTGACTCGCTGTTGTTTTGCAGCTTCTCACGGACCGTTTGCGGACTTTAAAAAAAATATTTTTTATTTTTTTTTACCTGTTTATGTTAATTGGACGCTCCTTCGCGGATTTATATATATATATTTTTTTTTTTACCTGTTTATGTTAATTGGACGCTACTTCGCGGATTTTCGTTTATCGCGGGTGGTTTTGGTCCCCATTAATCACGATAAACGGGGGATTACTGTAAATAGTATGCAAGAGAGTTACATATTCAAGCCTCTCGTAAAAAATAGTTGGGAAGACCAGTGCCGGTCCTTGCACGTTAACATAAAAATGAATTCCGTTAGTAATGACAAAAACATTTTCTTTAATTGGAAAACTTAATATGCATATTACAAAATAAAACAGTAATTGGACAACAAACATGCATATTACCATAATAGGAATACAAAATATAACCACGCTGAGTGTACTTATGAAAATTTGTTTTTTAGATAGCTTTAGGGACAACAGGTTGCAATTACAGTAAACAATTTCAAATTTCAGTAGTGGTTGGCCGGTTTGCACAGAAATACAGAATCTGGAAGAGTTTATCAGCATTCCTTAATAATAATCTTTACTGCAATACATTACTCGTTATGAACCAAAATTACTAAACCGATTTAAACTTAAAGCCCAATTAAATAGTGACAGTTTTCATTATTTGGAATGGGAGTCAGACTTGCAAAACAAAAACTGAAAACCTTTAGCACAGTTCACTGTTAAGGAATTAATCCTTCCAATCTTCAGATCACAATGCTCAGCAAAGCAAGCCATATACCTGCACAGAGTTCAAGGAAACAAACATCAGGGGACTCTGCTTGTTTGTGTTTAAAGGTTACACACTTGCTTGCTAAATGGGGCGCTCAACTTGATCCTGTCGGGCATCGCAGATGCTTTACTTCCTGACGTGGTCTTGAGCCCATCAAAGCAGCTTCAGACTGCCAGTGACATTGTTCACTATGTCCTCCTCACCCATGACAGCCAGGACAGTGCGGGAACCAGATGCCACCTAATCAAAGACAAGTTGTTAGGTTAATGCTGGTAATCAGATGCTAAGAACAGATCAGGAACAGGAAGACTCAGGAGGCAGGCATAGTTGTCTTTCTTGCAAGAGAGAGCGCGCTAAAACATGTCTCGGTTCACAATCTCAAAGCAGCTCTCCAGCTGGCTCTGCAATGTAAACCTTTACAGCAGGGGTGTCAAACTCAGGTCCTGGAGGGCCGCTGTCCTGCATGTTTTCCAAGTCTCCCTGTTGCAACACACCTGATTCAAATGAACAGGTTCAATGTCAGGCTTCCGCAGAGGTTGCTGATGATCTGATCATTTGAATCAGGTGTGTTGCAACAGGGAGACTTGGAAAACATGCAGGACAGCGGCCCTCCAGGACCTGAGTTTGACACCTATGCTTTACAGGTTCCGGGGCAACTCTGAAGAGTGCACGTTTGTCTCCTTGCATTTATCGGAAGGATGTCCCTGATACACAATCTTCTAACGGGAGTGGGGAGTATTTTCACATTCCACAACAGTTTCAGTAAAGTAGAGTTTCAATGAGAACACACAGTTCATTTCTGAGATGTCGTCAAACGGCTCCTGCTGGATGTCGATGGCCCACGTACACAGCTTGGGATGTCCCTCACACGGTGTCCTGGGGTTGATGTTATCTTCTCACAAGCAACAGTTAATTTGACCAGAAGCCGTTCACTTGACAACAAGATATTGTCTTAAAAGCTAGAACAGGAGCAGCCTGAGCTCTCCCGGTCTGACAAGTCTACCATTATCAACCTACCCCATTGTATATGAGGTATTTGCGAGGTATCACTCTGAAACAGGTTTTAAAGTTACACAGAGAGTAAATATGGGATAACAGAATTACATTTATTCCAACACAAGTTGAGCTTTTTTAGAGTGTGGATTCGTGATTATCTTCACAGTGAACCCAGTCGTGTGCAAGAAAGATTTGAAAAATCATCAGCAATCTCGCATGTAATCTCGCATGTACTCACCTGAGTAAGCCCAGCATCCTGGACCAGGTAAGTGGGCAGATTGAGACTCATGGCCTGGGCCTGAAGCTCTAAAAGATGAGCCACACTGGTACCCTGAACCACAATCTTCTTGGCTCTGTATAAAATAAATACATACATATTAGATTAGATGGAACTAATAAAATATTGGCTCGTAGCAAAGATGTACTTTTTTTCCTCGGCTCCTAAAATGTGGACCAAAGTTTTCGAATATGTGATACCTGTTCAAACAGTCGGAAACTTAAAATCTCGCCCGAATACTTCTTTCTCCATCGCTTTTTCATGACTCAAAACATATTTATTGTTTTCACTATTTCATGGTGCTTTTGAAATAAACTAGCCTTGCGCTTGCATTTTAACACTCATTTCAAAACAATCTTCAGACTTTCAGGGATTTTGTCATTTGGCTCACTGGTGTTTACTGGTAGTCTGGCCAATGATGGATGTCATAGCGTAGTGTTTGTTAGTAAACTGTTTTTTGACAATGAATAGGAATTTACATTCTACAAGTGAGAAGAGAATCTTGATACCATGCACTTGAGGGAATACGAGCATTTGCGATGACCTGTTGCTTGTACCTCTGCTCAAGTGTGGTCTCTCTGAGGCACCGTAGTGCAGGGGTCCCCGACCGCCGGTCCGCGGACCGGTACCAGTCTGCCGGGCATTTGGTACCGGGCCGCACAGAAAGAAATTGCCTTAATTCCGTTTTATTTATTTCGGAATACGAAAAATGTTTTATTTTGAAAAACTACTGGATTCTCCGTTACATCCGTCTGTGTCACGCTTGACACGCGTCAAGCCACGCTTCTCCATCACGTGACCGATTACTTCAAAACAAAACGCAGGAGCCCGCAAAATGAGTAAAAAAAGCTGCTGGAGATCACAAATGACGGCGGCCTTAAAAGTACGTTCGAGACAACTGGATTAAAGTTATGTCTGAATATTCTGAGATCGCCACAGTAGCACTGTTGCCATTTCCGACAAGCTACCTGTGTGAGGCGGGGCTTTTCTGCAGCAACGGCGACGAAAACCAAATTACGAAGTAGACTGGACATAAACCACACACTTGAGGTGTCATTGTCTCCTATTACCCGAGATGGAACCGTCTGGTTGCAGAAAATCAAGCTCGATGCTGTGGTGAGTCGTCATTTTCATGCACTTTGAATTTGCATTGTATCGTATTTTGAAGGAATTAAACATTGCCATAGCGATCAGAGTGTTGCGGCCAGATTAGATGCTCCTTGTGTTTATTATTATATTTCGAAAATGCCACAGTTTTCATGCAGCTCATACCATATTATTTCCGCCACACCTTAAATGCCGGTCCCTGAAAATATTGTCTGACATAAACCGGTCCGTGGGGCAAAAAAGGTTGGGGGGCCCCTGCCGTAGTGGATGTGCTTCAAAATGCACACACTTTGAGCTGAGGTTGTTGCATTCTATTAGCTCACCACTAGATGGTTCGGAACGCACCCTCACTGCACAGCTTTAAAACTCGGCTTAAAACTCATTTTTTTATTCTTTGGCTTTGAACTCAGCATGAGACTTGATCTTTAGTTTGATTGTTTTTGTGCTTTCTACGGTCTTTGTGGTTAATTTATAGTTTTATTGTTTGTTGGTGCATGAATTCTTTTTGCTCCATGTACATCACTTTGTAAACAGGGGTGGTTGTTTTAAAGTGCTTTATTAAGACAGTTGAGTTGAGATCATCAAACAAGTGTAAATATCAAAGATTAGCAGTGCTCCAATCCAACTTTTTAAATTCCGGTACGATACCAATATTGCAGCCGAGAGTACTATCCGATACAAATCCAATACGATATCAGCAGGAATGATACATGCTTTTCATAATTTTTTTTTTTTTTTTTTTAGTATGGAGTGTTAGAAGAGACTTAATCAAGTGATACTATTCAAACAAAGAAGAGATGTCAGCGAAAGCAAGTTTGAGAAAATAGGACCCATTCATTCCAAACATTTGGGTTGCATCAAGTCAACCTTGAACATTAGCCTGTACTGCACCTGAATAAGATAAATTAAAGGGCCCAAAGAAATGACCCAAATAAAGTCAATCAATACAAACTACAATTCGAAGTGCAAAATAATTCGTCTGTGTAGAGTTTGCATGTTCTCCGCATGCCTACGTGGGTTTTCTCCGGGTACCCTGGTTTCCTCCCACATTCCCAAAAACATGCATGACAGTTTAATGGAAGACTCCAAATTGTCCTTTGGTGTGACTGTGAGTGCGAATGGTTGTTTGTCTATGTGTGCTCTGCGATTGGCTGGCAACCCGTTCAGGGTGTCCCCCGCCTACTGCCCAAAAGCAGCTGGGATAGACTCCAGCACACCCCGTGAGGATAAGTGGATCAGACAGTGGATGGATGAGAAACAGCATAATTGACATCTATTGGTCTGGAAAGGGTTACACAGCCATTCCCAAAGCCATAGGACTCCAGCGAATCACGGAGGTCACAAACGAATCCAAGGCATCAACTAAAGAACTGAAGACTTCCCTCGCCTCGGTTAAGGTCAGTAGTCATGACTGAACAATAAGGAAGAGATTGGGTAAAAAGGGCATTCAAAACAGAATTCAGACGTGAAAACCGCTGCTGACCAAAAAGAACAAAGGAGCTTCGGGGGGGGGTGGAGGGCATCACACCAATAGTCATACGTGGTGGCAGTGTAATGTCTAGGACTGCTTTGCTCATTCAAGACCTGAATAACTTGTTGTGATTGACTGAACCTCAAATTCTGCTCTTTCCGAGAAAATCCTGATGGTGAATATTTTCTGCCATCTATTTGTGACCCCAAGCTGAAGCGCACTTGGGTTCAGGACAATGACCCAAAATACACGATCAAAACAACTCTGAATAACCGAAGGAGAGGGGAAAAAAAATTGAATGAAGGTTTTAGAGTAGCCTAGTCAAAGTATGGGCTTGAATCAGACTGAAATGCTGTGGCATGACCTTAAAAAGGCTGCTCATGCTCAAAATCCCTCCATTGTAGCTGAATTAAAGCAATTCCACAATCGTGCAAAGAAAACATCTCCACAGTAATATTAATGAATCACTGCCAGTAATAGAATACGCTTGATTTTGGTTGTTGCAAGCGAGCCGTGGTCCAAGGCGTGATCAGGTTTAGGCGGCAAGCACTTTTTTCACACAGGGTCATTTAAAAATGGCATTGAATGTTTTCTTGGGTTTTCTTTGTCTGACATTCCTATTTGTTTGATGAGCTTTAACAATGAAGAGGGGAAACTGCAAAAACAGTAAGAATTTGGAAAGAGGGCAAATCCTTTTTTCCCAGCCCTATATGAGGATGAATTGAGGCCTGCTCGGATGAGAGGAAAAACGACCCCTAAGACAACCATGGCAGTCCATTTGCGAGCTATTCAATGGACGCATTTGGAGAGTTTACACTCCAAATTGTTTAGGGGCATTTTGACTTTTCCACAGTATTCTCTAAAGTTTGAAATCCTTATGGCCTTAAAATATGTATAGAATGTGCAGACAAAAACAGTGACATGTGAGATCATGAATCTGATTTTGTAGGTCTTACCCACTATGGTCCCACTTCCAGGCCATCTCCCTCCAGCTGTTTTTATCCTGCAGAGCCTGGTACAAGCCCACAGCAGCATGTCCAACCTGAGCCGCGATCTGCACAAAATGTTCAAACATACTGACAGCTCAGCTTGCTTTAGTTCACGTTGCAAGCGCCACCTAAATACAAGGAAAGTTTAAAGCAACATTTATTATTTTGGTTGTATTTTGCAGTGGTGCAGAACTGTAGAGTGCCCGCCATTAGTAAAATAAGAGATTATCAAATAAATAAAACAACAGAATCAGTTGTTAGAATTATGCAGTACAATTCAACAGCACTGCAAATTACATCCATAATGTGGCTTGGGCATCGGTTTTCAACTAACCAACCATCTGCGATTGACCCATTACCGCACAGGCAAGCAAACACGCACAAGGGTGCATTTTTTTTTTCTCGATGCCGTTTACTTCCAATAAGCATACATTTCTTTTTGGAGATGCATGAATGCATCACTTTTCTAGCAAATCACACGAGATAGAAAATCCAATTCCAATCAAGTTGGGATGTTGTGTAAAACGCAAATGAAAACAAATTACTATGATTTGCAAATCCTTTTCAAACTATATTCAATTGAATTCACGCCACACAAGATGTTTAACGTTCAAACTGATACTTTTTTTTTTGAGGCGGGTTTTGAAGATGGGCAGCGAGGAAGAAAACGTCCACAACAAATGAAAGAACAGCAGCCAAAAATACCAGTTTACAAACGAAAACAACATTCACATATAATACATATGGGTCAAATATTCACTCGCTTTGAATTTGATGCCTGCAAAACGTTCCATAAAAGCTGGGATTTGGGTATGTTTACCACTGTGTTTCACCACCCTTCCTCTTATGAATACTCAATAAGCATTTGGGACATGAGGTCACAGTGGAGTTCTTTCCCATTCTTGCTTGATGAACAGTTGAAGTTGCTCACTGGTCCGAGGTGTTCTTTGTTGCATTTTGCAGTTCATAATGTGAGACAGTCTGGACTGCTGGCATGCGAGTCTCGTACTCGCAGTTTTTGACTACGAAGCCGTGCTGTTGTAATGGGCAGAAAGTGGCTTAGAATTGTATTGCTGAAATAAGCAGGGACATCACTGAAAAACAAGTTAATTGGATAGCAGCAAAATTTGCTCCAAATCCTGTTTGTACCATTCTGCATTAATGGTGTCTTCACAGATAGGCAAGTTGCCCATGACATGGGCACTTTCACGTCATACCGTTTGAGATTCTGGCTTTTGAACTGTGTGTTGGTAACAACCTGAATGGTTCTTTTCCTCTTTGGCCAGGATACGACATCCGTGATTTCCAAAAACAATTTGAAATGTGGGCCACAGCACACTTTTGCATCAGCCCATCTCAGATGAAGTCAGGGCCAATGAAGCCGGCGGTGCTCGTGTTTTTTGTTGATATACAGCTTTTGCTTTGCATGCAGCCATCTCGTTACCTCTGCGTCCCGCGTCCTAGAGGCATAATTTTCCCGCGGGACGCACAGTTCCAAATGTGCGTTTTTAGTACGCAAGGAAATTTCTCAGTCGAAACAAACAAACAAAAAAAAACTACGGTCAATTTTTTTTTCCAGCAACGATCGCAGTTTGACCATCGCCGCCATTGTTGTTTTGATCTGGCGTGAGGAGATTTTCGTTCTCGCGAGACGAGATTGGCGAGATCAGCCTTCACCTTGCGGCAAGCAGACGTTTGCCAAGTTTGAGTAACAATGTTGCGAACAAGTGTTGCGAAAGTTGATTGCGGAGATATCACAGAGGAAGTAGCTAAAGTTGATTATTTTTTGTGATAATAAGTTGACTTTGAGAAAGCCTTGCATCATTAGAAGCAGAGTAAAGAGAGGATAATTTATGAACTCAAAGACTGAACCATGGGATGAAATAAGAACCTATTTCTCAGCAAATCTTGTATGCCTGAATTATTTAAATTTTTGCAGCATTTGTTTATAAAAAATAAACCTATTATCAATGTATATTGTTGTTGCGATGTAGCGACAAACTATTTTAACTAACAGTGGTTTCTGAACCCATGTGGCAATATCCTGAACACAATGATGCTGATTTTTAATGCAGTGCCACCTGAGGGAACAAAGTTCACAGGCATTCAATCTCTGTTGTTGGTCTTGCCACTTATGTTGAGGGATTTCTCCTAATTCTCTTAAGTTTTTGATGATATTATGGACCGTAGAAGATGAAATCATTCAATTCCTTGCAATTGTATGTTGTGAAACATTGTTCTTTAACTCTTGGACTATTTGCACATGCAGTTGTTCACAAAGTGGTGAACCTCACTCCATATTTGCTGTGAATAACTGAGACCTTTGTGAATGCTCCTTTTATACCCACTCATGAACCTGGTCACCAGTGAAATGTTCCAAACAGGTGTTTTTATTTCTTTAGCATTCTTCAACTTTCCCAATCTTCTAGTGGCCCATCCCAGCTTTTTTGAAGACTTCAAATTCAACATGAGAGTATATTTGCAAAAGAAAAGTGACACTCATCCAGTTTGAATATGAATATTCTGTCTTTGTGGTACATTCAATTGAATATAGCTTTAAAGGGATTTGCAAATCACTCTGCTTTTATTTATATTTTCCACAACGTCCAAACTTCTTTGGAATTGGGGTTTGTAGTTGAATTGATAGTTGGTTGTAGTTGGTCAGAAGCACACACATGAAGAAAGTATTTTACATCCATATTGCTGGCATCCGGCAGAATCCTTGCATCTCCATCCCTTTTCGGGGACCCCCAAAAAAACCCAGTATGGTTTTGGAGACATTAATATTGGCTTTTCAAAGACAGCAAGCTATTTCAAACTCACTAATGTGTAAAAATGACAGAATCACATTGTCCAAATTTTGACATATGACGTCATCCCGACAAGGACGATGTGCAAATCACCACGAGCAGCAGCAAATGTACCTTTCCAACCCCCATAGCAAGGTCCATGTTGACCACAAACACCATTTTGTACATAAGGTCCCCATCGGCCTCCTGTCGAGGACACACATACGAGACACTGAGATTTGGCTATGGACAAACTCATTCGGTCAATGAGCCAATGTATACCTGTTGAGACTAAGCCTAGGTTAAGGGCACCTCATTCTCCAGTTTGTTGAAGTAGTACATGGCCGCCTCCTCAGCAGACACATTCCCAGTATGCAGGAGCGCCTAGAAATGAGGAGAGAGAAAAAAATAATTACAATCACCGTATCGGCATTAAAAGCAATCACTGAATTGGGAATGTGGAAACAGAAAAGATCATCCATTGTCGTGCTGTCACAAACATTACGCGAGTAATCGCCATCTCCCGCAAATCCCAGTCACGACATTAACATCCTAATGGGTATGATAAACCCTAATTCCAAGACACTACCTGCATTAAAATGACTGGAATGCATCAGGAAGGGTATCCGAACTTAAAAGTATCACAAACCTAGAATTACTGTCGCGACAACAAGACGTGCCACTGTGGAAAAATGCACAGGCTGCAGTGTTAACTTCCGACCAATAGAGGGTACTAATACACAGTGAAAAAAATCGTGATTGGATTAGATAGCATACAATGGATTTACTACTATGGCCTCTGTCAATGTCTGCGTGAAAGAAATACAATGAAGCCCGGAAATGCCTCCAGGGAAGGGAAAAAAAAAGTGTTGACCATTGTTTTAGGTTGACTTGGTCAACGCTTTCCCAGCCCAACACCAATGTGATGTCAACTATCTTTGATAACATATCAAAATGGATGAAAACTGTGACAAATTTACAGTTATCCAATCACTGACCAGTCAAGGCATAGTCCCAAGTGTTCTCAAGACCACACTATTTGAGACTTTGGAGAGACCAAGACCAAGCTTTTGAGACATAAACCACAGAAATCAAATGTAAAAAAATAATCGAAAATAAAACTAAGTTAAAATATTATGGAGACTGTCTGCAAATCTACTTGCAAAGATTACCGTATTTTCCACACTAAAAGGCACACTGGATTATGAGGCGCATCTTCAATGAATGGCCTATTTTGTAATTTTATTTTTTTTTTCATATATTGGACGCACCGGGTTATAAAACGCAATCTACAATGCATCCACTAAATGGAGCTACGATCAAGGAAATGCAAACGGAAGGATCAGCAGATGTCAGTAAAATGTAGGAGACTGGACTGTCTCAGAAGTGTTTATTTATTCCTTTGTTATGTATTCACAAACGAGGAAATCACAAAATAAATTCTGTAGTGGGGCTATAGAATTTATTTTGTGATTTCCTCGCTTGATTTTCTGTTTTGATGCATTATTTTCAATTTTTGTAGTTTCATTGAAGTAATCGTTAATTTACGTTTTTTGGAGGCGGTCATGAATGGCTCTCGAGCCAAAGGGAAGAAGAGAAGGCACAGAGACGGACAAAGATGTACCTGTATTTGTTGAGACTGTGATTAATGATTACCAGTCAATTAATCTTTGCAGTGTGAGATTGGAAAAAATACTCTGATGATGCCACATGAGTACACCAGTTTTTGATCCATTTATTTTTTGGAATAAACCTGGAGTACACAGCTGCTGATGTAATGTTCATTCTTAATGCATAGTTTTCAAACATTTACCCTTGAAACATTATACTTTTGAGTTTCAGAATTCTTAATTATCAATATGCCGGGATTTGCAAGCAAGGCCTGAAAAACCTCGCCGTGTCACTCCCGTTGTCTGTCAAAGGTTGCATCGGCATCGCGCGACTGTCTGGAAGTGATCCGATCCGTTTTGCATTTTTTTAAGGGCCGAGAGTGACCCGGATAAAAACTAAACGCTGAAAAAAAAAATCCCCGCGCACATGCGCGATGTCCGGAAATTAATGGTGGCCGCCCGTTTCGTCCCGCTGTCTCGGCACGAAGCAAAAAAATGCCCGGAGTGCCTGGATTTGCAAGCAAGGCCTGAAAACCTCGCCGTGTCATTCCCGTTGTCTGTCAAACGTTGCCTCGGCAATGCGCGACTGTCAGGAAGTGACCTGCTCCGCTCCCCTTGCCGTTTTGCATTTTTTTCAGGCCGTGAGTGGTGCGGATTAAAAGGAGGAGCGGAAAAAAAAATCCCCGTGCACATGCGCGATGTCTTGAAATTAATGGTGTCCCCCCGCTTCGTCCCGCTGTCGCGGCACGAAGCAAAAAAATGCCCGGAGTGCCTGGATTTTTAAGCAAGGCCTGAAAAACCTCGCCGTGTCACTCCCGTTGTCTGTCAAACGTTGCCTCGGCATCGCGCGACTGTCTTGAAGTGATCCGATCCGTTTTGCATTTTTTTCAGGGCCGAGAGTGGCGCGGATAAAAAGCAAAAACTGCAAAAAATCCCCGCGCACATGCGCGATGTCCGGAAATTAATGGTGGCCGCCCGTTTCGTCCCGCTGTCTCGGCACGAAGCAAAAAAATGGCCGGAGTGCCTGGATTTGCAAGCAAGGCCTGAAAACCTCGCCGTGTCATTCCCGTTGTCTGTCAAACGTTGCCTCGGCAATGCGCGACCGTCTGAAAGTGATCCGATCCGCTCCCCTTGCCGTTTTGCATTTTTTTCAGGCCGGGAGTGGTGCGGATTAAAAGGAAGAGTTGAAAAAAAAAATCCCCCTGCACATGCGCGATGTCTTGAAATTAATGGTTGCCGCCGCTTCATCCCGCTGTCGCGGCACGAAGCAAAAAAATGCCTGGGGCGCTGGGATTTGCAAGCAAGGCCTGAAAAACCTCGCCGTGTCACTCCCGTTGTCTGTCAAAGGTTGCGTCGGCATCGCGCGACTGTCTGGAAGTGATCCGATCCGTTTTGCATTTTTTTAAGGGCCGAGAGTGACCCGGATAAAAACTAAACGCTGAAAAAAAAAATCCCCGCGCACATGCGCGATGTCTGGAAATTAATGGTTGC